CCTCTCCTTTCTTGCCTCCTTCCTTCTCTCTTCTTCTTCCAACCTCTCCCTCCTTCCTTCCTTCCCTCTCTTGCCTCCTTCCCTCTCTCTTCTTCTTCTTCATCCTCTCCTTATTTATCATTTATATGTACTTTGGGTTCGGACTGAATTTCTTCCCTTTAAAGACTGTTCTGGGCAGAGTTTTTTCTCCAGCCGATGATAACTGGACATTAGGGACCAAGCTGGAGGAATTAAAGGGTCTTTACCTACTTTTGTGGCTTTGTTGCTTTTGTGCCAGGCCCCTTTGGGTCATCACAGTAGATTTAGTAGCAAAGATTGCAAAGATCACTTGGAGGTGGGAGACACTTCCAATGTATTCTACCAGATCCCCCAAATAGATCCCCCCCCCCCCCCAGGGACCATGTACGACAGACTGGGAGGAAGCTAAGCACCAGATTGCAAGACGACAAGCGAGTGGCCGGACGAGGAGACCCAAACTCCTTCGTAGCCTCCCATCGCAATGAACAAGGATATACATTCAATTTCCGTACCGCGTGCGGACTTCAATTCCCAGAATTCCCCAGCTGGCGTACTGGGAAGGGATTCTGGGAGTTGGAAGTCTGTACATTGTCAAGCTGCCCGGGTTGGGTAAGGCTGGCTTGCAGATACCATTGCTTCGTGGCCGTTTAGTTTGCAAAAGGAGACCTTAACAACTGTACCTATTGTCTCTTGAGTTCTTGTTCTGACCCAAACCTTGTTCCAAGGAAACAGAGATAAAAGCAAAGCCTCTTAATGCTTCTCTGTGAATCCCTGTTCCTTCCTGATTAAAAGGCTATTAATACTAATTCTCTCTGATAAGAACGAGCCTTGCCAAGGTGGTGCAAGGCTGCCTAGAACACTAGATAAAGTTGCCAAGAAATATTTCAAACACAAAGAGTCTCCAAACACAAACTAAGAGAATCTGAATGTCCACCAGGCTTGAGGCAAAAACTTCTTTGCTTCCTGCAAAGAACTCTGGTTTCTCAGCTGGCTTTTATCTCTTGAGGGAGGGGCCATCACCTTGCAGCCTTACTCCCGAGTTGCCTGTGCTGCAGCAGCTGCTCTTTCCTCTTTTCTTTGAGCAGCCCTGCGCGCACACACCCTGGGCACAGGCTCCTCAGGGACCTCTTCCTCGCTGCTGACAGCCTCCACCATCTCCGAAGGCAGCACTCCACTCCCTGATGGTCCTGGCCCCCATCCCTGCCTCCCACGCAGGCCCCTCATCCGAGTCCTCCCTCTCCGAGACCTCAGCCCTCCGCACCTGCCGCTGGCGAACCACAACGAGTCCTCCTAACTTTTCCCCCCAAGATAAGCCAATGGCTTATGAAGTGGTTCAATGAAAGCAGCGTAGAACATTTTCTTCCAGTGCTTTAAACGCCGACAAGAGACTCTCAGCGTTAAGACGTCCTGAGTTTTCTGAAACCGCTTGAAAAGATGCTAAGCGGCTACGCTCTCTCTCTTGCGGTAACGCCGCATTTCAGCAATTTAAGCAATTTGGAGCAATGAAGGCCTTTGGATTCACACGTTCGCCCCCCCGTGCGGTTCTCGTGATACTCTGGACGGAGCTTGAAGAGGGAGCCTAACGCAAACATTACAAAACGAGAAAGGGCTCTTAAGGAAGGTCATGAGCCTGGAATCGAGAGGTTGCAGGCGAGGCTTACCGTTAGCGCTGCTGTCTGCTTTTTCATCTGTCTGGCTCTCTGGAAAGAACGATAAAAGAAGAGTGAGGATACTGTTTGGCTTTTTTTGGGGGGGGAGGGGGAGGTTAGCTTCATTGTCGTTAGCACTATTATAAAGTTCATTTGTAGCTTCTTGCAAATGTTTCATTACCCAACTAGGTAACATCATCACTGCCAGAAGAGAGAGGGTATTCTGAAGAGGAGGAGGGGGAGGAGGAAGAGGAGGAGGAAAAGGACTGTGGGGGTCCTTGGTGCCCTCTGAGCTTGTTTGTTTTCTTGCAGATGTTTCATGACCCAACTATGTAATATCATCAGTGCTGGAAGGGAGTGGGATTTTTGGAGAGGAGGAGGAGGAGGAGGAGGAGGAGGAGGAGGACTCCTTCGTGCTTTCTGAGGTTGGTGGTTTTCTTGCAGATATTTCACTGCTAAACTAGGTATCATCCTCATTATAAGACAGCCATTACCGTTAATCTAAGCCTACATTACATTGGGGCTGTTAGCTAATCGTGTCTCAGTAGAAAAATTCAGTATATTCCTATGACAGAAAATCAATTTCCTGTCTTTCTGCAATTCAACATCCCTTGAAGTCTGTCATAGTTCTCTTCCCGGGGTATAAAGAACGGACAACACTTTGTCCAAAATGTTGTCATAAAATTAGGGCAGGGTATGATGAGAGGAGAAGGGTTGACGGCTTAAAAATGACTGGAAATTGTTTTTTTTAAAAAAATAAGGGGGTCCTAGCAGCCCACCCAAGGAAAATAACTGAGGCCGCCAAGAGATTTAACGACACATTCAGAGAGCGAGGACAATGGCTGCAAAGTACAAAGAAAGAGTGGAAAAAGGAATAAAAGTGATAAATCTCTTCTTCCTGCAGGTTTTGCAAAATATGGGGATTTTATTCCTTTTTAAAATTGGGATAGCCAGCGTCATCTGCTACATAAAGTCAAAATATTTTCCATCCCGGCTTCCGAAGACTCTGAGAAAATGCATTTTAGAACGCACATCGCTGAAGGGAGAAAGCCACGGCTGCAAAAAAAAAAAGAGAGCAAGGAATCCACCATTCTTATGCTTCGTTTTATTGCCAAAAATGTCCAAAGTCGGAGGATCCATTATTTTAATCCACATAATGGATTTTATACAGTGTTATGATGCCCAGACAAGTCTTTGGGTGTTGGTCAGCCTGTCCGGCCAAGAAATCTGCCTTCTCCAACCCAGCAGGATCCAACTGGGATTGAAAATTGGGAGTCGCTGGCCAGGCTGGTTTAAGTGACAGAAAAGGGCATTGCATTCCCACTAAATCTGGAAGGCCGAAAAGAGCAATAAAGACCTCATGCCTCAAAGAAGGTCACTTGAAAATTGGAGCCTTATCCCAGGATTTCTAGTTTTCATTTTCTCTGCTTTTGTCATTATTACTGGTATAGCAATAGCCCTTAGACTTATATGCCGCTTCACAGTCCTCTTGAAGTGGTTTACAGAGTCGGCCTCTTGCCCCCCGACAATCTGGGTCCTCGTTTTACCCACCTCGGAAGGACGGAAGGCTGAATCAACCTGGAGCCTGGTGAGAGTTGAACTGCCAAATTGCAGGCAGCCAGCAGTCAGCAGAAGTAGCCTGCAGTACTGCACTCTAACCTTTGGGAGAGAAGGAAGGAAGGGAGGGAGGGAGGGAGGGAAAGGAAGGAAAAGAAGGGGAAAGAAGGGGAAGGAGAGGGAAAGGAAAGGAAAGGAAAGGAAAGGAAAGGAAAGGGAGGGAGGGAAAGGAAGGGAAAGAAAGGGAAGGGAAGGGAAGGGAAGGGAAGGAAGGAAGGAAGGAATCAGTAGCACTTCAGACTTCTATACCGCTACAGTGCTTTTTTGAGAAAAGGATACACCATTTCCTTTTTCAATCTTAAAAGAGAACCTATCTCACAAAAGAATATACCCTAATTGCGGCCTCGTGGTTTGAACAAGTCCCATTATAGTCAAGTTCTTGTGGAAGCAATTATCTCTGCCGCCAGTTCTTGAATGCTTAAATTGCTTACCTCTTTAAAAGTCACAGCAATCGTGTCATGACATTTAGAAAGAGGTGACTGGCATCAGAGCGTGCCTCAACCACAAAGACATCCATCACTCGTCCATAATATGAACCAGGTCACCTAGCTCCTTATCAAGGCTTCTGCCAGCTTTTTTTCACTTGTTCACGGCAGAGGGAGGCAAGCCGTGACGATTTGGCTGCCGTGACAATTTTTTCCCCGTCGGCGGGAAGATATTCTGCAGGAGAATATCAACAGCGAAATATAAAATAGCTTTAAAATTGGGGCCAGAGATGAGGCGGCAAAAATTTAGCCAGAGCTGCTCCATTATAAGCTATCCACGTTGCTCAGATGGACAGAATTCCTCCTGGTTGAGTTAGATTAGCAGTGGAAGAAATAACTTATTTCTGCAATACACAATCTCCATCTTTATTTATTGATTAGCCCAGTCTTGGGCCATATCAAAGTGCAGCGTTCCAGAAACCAATTATTACTAAAAAAAAAATTGATAAAAGCAATTTAAAATGGAATGGGATAAAATACGGTTTAACATGAAATATACGACTGAATTACAAAAACTCTTCCCATCAGAATTGGGGCCACGATGACATCTTAGTCCAAGTTTTGTTTTTTTTTTTAAAAGAAAGGATTAGATAAATCGGTGGAGTATATAAGCATCATTTGCCTAGAGAGATTCTCGGTCCTCCAGATCTTGGTTTTGCCAAAGGTGCTTTTTTCAAGAGGCAACTGGACTTGGTGCTTTTTCTCTGAAGACGTTTCGCTTCTCCTCCAAGAAGCTTCTTCGTTTCTTTTTCTCCAGAACTGAAGAAGCGTCTTGGATGAGAAGCAAAACTTTTTCAAAGGAGGTGTCTATGGAGATTCTCAGTTCTTCCTTTTCCTCTCTCCTCCTTCTCCTCCTCCTTCTTTTTCTTCTTCCTTCTTCTCCCTTCTTCCTCTTCTTGCGTGCAGCCAGAAGCAGACGAAGGAAGAAGCGGAAAGAAGCAGCCCAGTGGCCAGGCCAGGCGCGTGGGGCCAGTGGGGCAAGTTCTCCCCCCTCCCTCCTTCACCCGCTCCCCTCACCCCCTCATGTTGTTCGCAATGCAAGCAACACAAGCTCTGTGTTCCTGCGCATCCAGGATTAATTGCTTGGCGGGGAGGACACGTTTCTCTGCGGACCACCAAAATCTTCTCACGGACCACCAGTGGTCCCCGGCCCACTGGTTGGAGACCGCTGGACTAGATGACCTACAAGGTGCCTTCCAACTCTGATGATCTCTATTGGTATCGGTATCTACTGTAGAAATGCTTCCCCCCCTCTTTCTGGAGGAGGAGGAAAAAAAGAGAGAGAGAGAAAGGAGAAACGTGCAATTCTACAGTTTTGTTCCTCAACTGTTGTGGGGAGGCTAAGGAACAACACAGCTTGGGGGACGAGCGATGAAGTCACCTCCAATTGTGTGTTGTCAACCCACCAAGGTGAGCCAACCGAGAGGGAAGGTGTTGCAGGGGCGGCAGATGGAAAGAAAGCCAATGAAGAAAGATCGCCTCTCAACGCATATTCGTTTGCCACAGTAGGGGCGGTGATGTGGGCACGGGCCAGAGGTTGCGGCCATGTTATTTTTACACCGGTAGTAGGTGTATATTTTTTCTCGAAGGTTTCAATTTCTCTGGCTAATACAGCAGGGAAGCAGCTGAGCGTGGTTTGCAGAGCAAATAGGACGTTCGCTGGGCTGGTCTCGGGAGCAAAAGGCTGGGTACACGTGTGCATTGCACAGTGGCAGATTTGCACTGACTTCGAGGCTTCCCAAGATCATGAAGACGACTCCTCGTCCCGATAAAACCCCTTTTGTTTAGGTTAAAGGGAATGCCTCTCCAGCAAAGTCCCGGCCAACAGACTTTTAGTCGTCTTTCACAATTACACACCTTTATCGGGCTTTGCCAGGCTGATATCTTCCAAACGCCACGCTGTAGCAGCAATGACTTGGCAAGGAGTCAGGAACAGATCTTCACGCTAATGAATTGAACTAATTGTCTCCTGCAAACACCACTCCCTTTTCGCTCCTCTTTTAATCCCTTTGGGAGGGGCCATTCACTGTCCACCTGAGCCTTTACTCCCGAGGCAACCCTTGTTCCTTAGCTGTTCCCTTCTTCTGGCAGCTCTGTGCATGCGCATACTGGGAACAGGCTCCAACTGATCTTCTTCCCCACTGATCTCCGATTCTGAAGGCAGCTGTTAACTGTCAGATGGCCCTGGCCCCATCTCTGCCTCCAATGCAGAGCCCTTGTCAGAGCCTTCCCAAGACTCCAGGCTTTGCCCATGTTCCTCCCCCAACCTCCTCACTGTCTGAGTCTGCCACCAGCTCCGGGCAGGCCACTACACGCTTGCACAGCAAAATTGCACAGTGGCAGATAGGAAAGCACTTCACGGGGTTAACGTCATTGCCCAGAGGATCCTGGGTTGCCCTCTCTCCTCTTTGAAAGAGCTTTAGAGCTCCTGATGCCTTAAGAAAGTTCAAAACATCCTCAAAGATCCATCTCACCCTGGGCACCCTTTATTTGAACTATTACCATCTGGCAGACGGTACAGAATAATACAAACAAGGACAAACAGGCTGAAAAACAGCTTCTATCCCAGGGCAGGAACTGTATTGAATCCTACCGCAGAGTCCACTATTATTACAATATCAGGGGTTTTCCAATAAATTGCACAGAATGCAAAGGATGTGTGTTTGCATTTTACTTTTATAGTTTTCTTAATGTATCAGGCAGACTGAAGATGGCATTTAATTTCATGGTACGAGGTGCAGTGACAATAAAGTAAAACAAATGAAGGTGAAAACAGACTGATTTATTGCTCAGGTACCCTATGCATAGAAATCCCTAAGATGTTTTTTTTTTTTCAGGAAGCAACTAGACTTTCTTTTTTCCTTTCGAAGACGTTTTGCTTCTCATCCAAGAAGCTTCTTCAGCTCTGATAGTTTAGCGGGGAATGGAAGGATTATCCTGTCCACTGAG